CTTCAAATTATACTGAATCATTAGCACCATCATCCACATCCACTGAATCTTCACTCAACACTAATAGAGCTTACCGCACTTTTAAAAGAAAGTTCCCCAACCATCCTTTCCCAGCAAAACCAGGAACAGCCCGTGAATACATCAACCACCCCAAGCATACTAACACAAAAGAATTTTTAGCCATCACCTTACCCTCATTCCCACAATACACCTTAAACACCCCCCACGACACTAACGAAACACGCAACTTTGTAGATGAATACGTTTTAATGCCTACTCTCTCTTGGACCTCATATTATCATTTCACGAACCCTCTTTGCTTACCTTTATCTAACACTCACATCGATATAGAGCGAAATACGGACATGCTATATCGACTCACTACACCACTAACACCTAGACAATTTACTTACGTTGGATATAAAAAATCACTAAAAACACACACTGCACCTAGAGCTAACGAATATACACTCGAATACTATGATCACAACATCATCAGAGCTAACCAAGATCAATTCTTAGACGACGATCGCTTCGCTAATCCACAGATTACCGAGAAATTTTTCATCAAGACACCATATACATTCACACTAAACATCTTCGACCGAAAGTTTGATCACATTATTTCAGAAGCACTAACAGACACACAAGCATACGAAAGTTTTAAAGAACGCTTCCAAATATTTTCACTAACCTTTCATTTCCTTGCACCACACGAAAGAGATTTACACTGCTCACACGATATTATGTTGCGCACTAAACAAACCCACACATATAGTTATTATCGCTTCATCCAAAATCACTTTGACCTACACACACCCTCTAGACAACCACACCATCGTTTTCAATTCATTAATTCCAAATACACTTCACCATTTTTCCTAAATTTCACATATTGTATTAAAGACACTAACCTCCATGGTATTCTTCGTAATTATGACCCCATAACCCAAATGTACATCTTCTGTCCCATCACCAAGACCTTCAACGCCGAAGAATCCCGACCCTTCCTTATCCCGCACGAGTTTGTACAACCCATAGAAATCCCAATTTTAGAATTCATCCACAACACTAAATTCAATCACAAATTATATAACTTAATCCAAAACACACCTTATGAGTTTGCAGTTGGCACTGAAGAACTAACCACTATCAAGGCACTTCAATTGCTTTGGCCACTGCTTCAAACTAAAAATATCATCCGCATCTTAGCTAAACTACTAACAACTTCAGAACTAATTCACGACATCTTCCCCCACGGTTTTTTCCCCGACGACTAACAGGTAAGTATGAATTAAATGAATATTACTAACTAATTAAAATATTAAAAAACTCACCATACTTTATTCATGTTTTCTTTAGATTTTTAGCCTTCATCCGACGATCACCTACAAAAACCACAAAAGACAAATAAAAATCGCAAATTTCATCAAACAGATTTCAAAAATTCTATTAATCTCTTACACTTATAAATTTATAAATTTAATACCAATGCAGTAAATTCATTTCTAAAATTTTCCCCCACAAGCAGTAAATCTAATTATGATGAAAATTTGTATCTTAATATTCCCCCATGACTAGCAGTAAATTTCTAAATTCTATGTAGTACATTAAATAAATGCAAATGCAGTACTAACCTTTTGATATTTTCATTCATTCGCACAGAAATTCTATCCACACTCGCACAGCTCGCCCACGAAGAATTGTTTAAAATAATGAATTTCAGTTTCAAGTTTTCACACTCAACAACTCTAACATATAATAACATGTTTCGAACTTTCCTTTAACCCGGTTGGAAAGGAATCATATACTAAACAAAACTAACCAACGCAGCTTACTAAATATCACAAATCATAGAATAACAGCATGACTTAGAAAAAGAAACCAACGGTACCCAAACCGGATTAACCCAGTTTAAAACTGGATAATTTATTCTTTTGAAGACTATTATAAAGTCTAAGAAAGAAATAATAAAACACAAAAAAGTCGAAAGACAAACCCATACCACAAACAATTTGATTTTTGAAAAAAGGACACAACCAACAAAACATAAGTAAGACCACAACAAACTCAACATAAAACGTTGTCACATAACAGGACCCCTCACAAAAACCGCATGAAATCATACTCCCACTCCTGGCCTAACCCACCAGGAAGGACGTCCTGAGCATGCTCTATAGCCGGCCTAACCCACCGCGCTACATCCACGCTTTGTGACCACACCACTATTTTTAATAAGAGCTACTCAAGTGTGAGTAACTCTTCAAAATAACCGAACTAAAACAAAAAGCTTTTGTGAAAACAACTAACTAAAATCATTATTAAAAAATATTAAACTAATAAAAGTTTTATAAAATGTAAAATCACATGATGCAATACATAGATCAGAATACAACACCAAGGACGAACATCAAAAGACAAGACGACCCCACTACACTCGAGAGAGAATGACCAACTACAATCGATATGCCGCTCACAATCACAACTCAAAGGATTTAGAGTACGACTTGACCTCGCAGAAAAGGACTTCATTGAACTAGACCAATGACCACCTCGATGTTCAAGTATACGTACAGATCCGAGTAACCAGGCATCCCCTCCACGCACAATCTCCACGCCATTCCCAAACTAGATCATACACAAAAGAAGTTCTCCACGCAGAACAGAAAAACCTGACATAGCAAACCATTCTGAAATCAGATTTGAGTTTGTTGCAAAGACGTAGTCGTTGTCACTAGAAGACACAACGTCTTATGTCTCTAACTCCAGCTTCCTGGAACTTCCCTAACAAAAGAGGAAACGGAAGAAAATTATGATGTTCGCCAAAAACAAACGTCCATCATCCATCCTTCGAATTGCAGAAGAACTATTCTAAAAAACTCTGTAAAACCCGGATGGGTGGAACCTGATCTAAACTACATTTTATGATTGGATAAATTAAATGTTTTACCAATGTAAAGTATTTAATATTAACCAATCATGATCCATCTAACTAACAACCCACTTATTTGTAAGTGCTGAAGTTACTTGTAATTTCAGCACCAGAGAGATTTGAATTTAACTTAGAAATTAGTTGGACTCTCCCGAGCACTTCAGCAGCCGCAATAAACCAGTATACCCTAGATCTATTGAGCCTAGCAGAGACTAGTTAAACAACCTGAGACTAGATAGTATAAGAGTAAGATTAGGATCGGTATTAGACTAAGAAGTTGCACGAATCTATCCGGCCGAAAATAAGATAGCGTGACGAGCAGACGGTGTACCCTATCCGAAATTACTCTATGAGTTACACTTCGGTCCTAACTCAAATGTATATTTATCGACTTGAAGCTATTTTTAATGATTACTCTTTTGTCCTACACTTGACCCATTTTTGAAAAATGAAACTGAGAAAAATTCAACCTTCATTATTAAACTCAATTCATTGAGCTTATTCTTTTGCATTCGAGGTGTTACTATCAGTCATGCCTAACTTAAATCAAAACAAACACATAAATAAGTGTCTTCACTTGGAACTTAATAATTAAAGTCCCGCAGATAACGAAAGTAAGCCGAATGGTCACTTACTTTAACCACTTAGCCATAGACTCTTGATGTATCCTATATTCAAGAATACCTTACTTCCTTAACTCTTAATATCAGGCAGTGATAAGAGCGCTTCAACAATAGCTCAAGCTCTTTAGCTTAGGCAATTTCAAATAGACGCTAAATTGTTTTGAAACAAATAACCCAAAAACTAAACACATAAATTTGCGACTTGCTGCGGAAAAACTTCATAAACTGCCATCATATATGCAGTTTTATTTTGAAAAAGAGAAGGAATCAGAGCAACTCAAACGTGATTTCAGTACAAACTATATTACCGAGCCGGCGAAAAGTAAACATAGCCAACAGACATTGGGGGAAAAGTTCATAAACGCAGGTAAACTACTGACTTGGTTTTTTGAAAAAATCTCAACCTTCCCTTTTCCGAGAAAAAATTAGAAGGTCTTAAAACTCTTTGAATTTCTATAAAATTTATGATTGACACTAGTTTGAATATAGCCAATCGAAGATTGGAAAAGAGTAACGAACGCAAGTAAACATAAAAAACACTTGAAAGAATCTCAACTTTCAAATTTCAAAGATAAAATAGATGCCCTTTAAGCTATTTGAATTTTTAGAACAATTTATGGTTGGCGCTTTTTTGATAATAAGAACCCAACTAGAGAAAATTGGATCAAAAGGTAAAGTTTTTATTCCGCTGGAAATCTAAAAATTAAATTACTTTCGAAACTAGAAATAGTTCACGTTTTTTTTGCGCCATTTCCATGCTGGTATTTGGCGAGAGCTATTTACGTCACTTTCAGCAGATGAATTTCATTTTAACTCAAAAAGTGCATATATACCTAAGGGCATTCATAAAAGCATCAATATGTATGAATGGACATCTGTAGTTATTAGAGACTTTTCCTGAAAAAAAAACAAAAAAAATCAGCAAGAACTATATGACATTCTTTAATACGTTCATTACTCTAAATAACATTACCTCCATCTGAGAAATCTAGATCAATCGATAAAAATTTCATTTTAAGGGAAATCTGATAATTGATTCAATTTTCAAAACTAGAAGTCGATCACGTTTTTTGTGACCTTTACACTTTCTCTATTCGTAAGTGGAGTTTGCCTTCCTTTTAACAAACTTAAAAAGAAATGAAAAGTCAAACCGGAAAAAATCATATTGAGCCTGAACAAAATTTAAGACTTTTCCTTTAAAGAAAAACAAAAAATCATCACGACTTATATTAGAGTTTTCACTTCGTTCATCTACTCTTGAAGACCGAACAAAAATCAATTCATAGAAACTACGGAAGTAAAATAAATGATAAATCTCTAAGTTCATCAACACTTAAAAACTATCATCAACAATTTTTAAAACATTATAAGGCCATCAAGTCCCGGAAAGGTTTCCTTTGAAAAAAATAGTACCCCAGAAACATCCTATCCGAAAATCAACTTACAGGCATTGGACGACGAGAGGTTTAGCACAGTCACACGTATTATGCGCGTCAGTGCCATCCCCATTTGGCCCTGCACTGTTTGTACTGCTTCGATTGAAAGCCGAGTCCCGCATGCCTCGTTTGAGCGTGCAGTTACACACCCCTTTGTGATTGAACTTCGGGATGCTGGTATCGGGGACATCCCCCACGAGGTTATTTCTCACCAGTGACACGAAATGTGCGAAGTGGGCGGGGCTGGAGGGGGGACCAGTGGCTCCCTCTAGTAGCAGGTACTGCACGTGGGTTATATGCCACTCCTCGCCCCGCGCCAAGTTCTCGTCGTCCTGAGAATAAACGAAATTAACATTATTTATACCAACTTAGAAACATCTCCTTACCTCATTAAAACAAGCTGTAAAAAGCATTCAGGTAGCTCATTAACAAATGCAAGCGTCAAAAAGAACGGTCAGGTTTTAGCATTGTTGTTTAAATCCTGTTAACTCAATACAAAACGATAGCTTATGTTCTTTATGCTATCGAGCCAGTAGAGTTTAACTTGGACTGATTTATACCCCTTCATTTCTAATCCGCAAACGTCTGCGTTACAGCTAAACAAAATTGATTCGTAGCCCAAAAAATATTACGTAATAATTAAATGAAATTTTTGTTATGAAAAACGTTTAAATTTCTGGGCATGAATTTTACGACGGCAGTTTTTTTAAATTCAAGATAATGCTCATAGAATAGACGAGACAACAAGTCTCTATTAAACGGTTTGAACAGAATATCTCCAACCCAATTCTCTTCTTGAATCTCTATTTGCACATCATATTTGAGATCTGATCATTCCAAAGGTTAGAACCCTTTCATATAATTCAAATATAGAATTGAGATAGGGACATACTGTCTTTGCATAACAGTATGCAAACATGCAGTTCAGCTCTAATACAGATCTTAGAATGAACTTTGGTTAACCTTGATTTCGTTAAATGTAAACAAGAAAAAACTATATTTGTTCTACCTTACATAAAGTGACTTCAAAGGCTAGATGGCACTTCAGCATTTTATTAACTAAAACGACTCCTTTCTAGTTGAAATATAGTTGATTCTAACTATAATAAAGAGAAGCGGCGCTTCGCAAACAAACGCAAAAAAAGCTCTAAAATAAAAAAAACTACAACAGCTGAAAAATCAAAGCCCTGAAAAGGACAATCAAAAAAGTTGCCACGATTACAACAAAAACTTAGCATTTCACTTTAGTCTGATGAGAAAAAATACCGGTTTGATGAGAAAAAGCCGGTATATTTGTAGTCAATACTCCAATCCTTCAAATATCGGCCAGCCAAACTTTTCACATGCCGTTTAAAAATGTCTGAACGAGGTGCAGATGAAAACAAGTTATGATAATCCATGAGTTTTTTTTTAATGTATCCATGTTTTGATTCTGATCCTGTTTCGGCAATTATTGCTCGACCACTCTCGAAGAGTGAAAGTGTTTTTTTTCCAGCCAAAGAATAATTTTTTTTCCAGCCAATATTAAATACCTTACAAAAAAACTCGTAAGGTGCAACGTAAAGCATCAATTTAAAACACAATTGATCAAGATTTAATTCTCCCAACTTTAATTCTACTAAAAGTTCAAAGCTTTACTTTTAACTTTCTAAAAATCATAATCACGATATTTTACTATCGAGCCACGTATAAAAAATTACATACTTTCAGGAAAAAACAGCAAACAGACAGTTGGAAAAGATTCAATGAACGCAAAGAAGTAGAAAAAAAAACATTAGCTGTTTTTTGAAAAAAATTTAAACAAAAATTTATATGACTTTTTACCAAGACAATAGAAAATGAACCCACATTGAGAAAACAGGATCAATAAATAAAACTTTTATTCCTCTGGGAAATCTATAAATTAAATTCCACTTTCGAAACTAGAAATCGTTCACTTTTTTTGCGCCATTTCAGCTTTCACACAGAGCCGCACAACAAGCTGAGCTTCGCACCACTTGCAAAACAAAACAAGAAAGCTGTTAAGTCGGAAAAAAATAGAAAATTTCGAAAAAACTAGATCTATCAAAATGAAAAGGCTAACTTTGAAGAAAAAAACGCCAAAACAATAGAATGTAAAATTACCATCGGAGGAAGATTTACACAGAGGCAAAACACGACAAATAGCAGCTCTATAAAGTGGAAATAATAATAATAAAAAAATAATAGAAATAATCCTCGAATTAGCAAAAACTTGTGAACTGAGATTCGAACCTGCGACCTAGAAATTGAAAACCTCGCACACTAACCACTAAGCCACGGAAGCATAATAGGTACCATTAACCACTCAGTCACAAATAAAGCAGGGAACAGATGCTATGCAATTTGCAATGCTACGGTGAAATTTCCAAATAAGTGAACCTGCGACCTAGAAATTAAGAATCTCACACACTAACCACTAAGCCACGGAAGCATAATAGGTACCATTAGCCACTCAGTCACAAATAAAGCAGGGAACAGTTGCTATGCAATTTCAATGCTGCGGTGAAATTTCCAAATAAGTGAACAATTTTATTTGCGAGTTAATAAAAGGAAAAGAAAAAAATTGAAACCGAAAATAAATGTTATAAAAAACCATAATTTCTATTAAGATGCTTAGCAAGTTGTACGATCTAGAAGGGAGCATAAAAATGACGTTTCCATGAGACGACTAAAAATAGGACAGTAGTCGATAAAAGATAAGCCGAAAGTATTTGGGCAGAAAGGAGTTTTTAAGCGTTCAATAAAACAACAAAAAATTAAAACATAGAAGTCATGTCAGTAAAATTACAAACAGCAAAAAACAATCAAAACACTAAAAGCAACTACAAGGTAACTTGCGTACAGTAAAAAAAAGAACAATTCTAAGATGTGGCAACTAAGCCGACAAAATATAATCCGACAAATAACAAGCCGACAGTTTTCTTTAGATGGACTATTCACTGTTCGAAAACATGTCCTATCACATTCGAGCCCAGGTCCTTTGCCCTTCCAGGCTTTTTCGATACCTCCAGACCAAAAGTGCCGCATATGCAAAAAAAATTTCGCATTTCTGATTTTGACGATTCTGTGAACAAAATTATTTAAGGACATTTATATAAGCATTCATAAGTCCGAATACCCTTCTTTTATTATTTAGAGCGTTTTGAATTTCAAGAAAAAACGTAAAAACTTATCACGACCTACATGAGAGTCTGAACTACGTTCACGACTCTTAAAAACTTTTACAAACACGACTTGAGAGGCTATTAAGCAAAGTTTCCCTTCAGTGGCACCTGGTTTTTATTAACTATAATATCGGTACCGTTCTTTATTGCATTTTTCACCCAGAAAATAAAAGAAAATTACGTTCGTAACCTTGACACTTTTGCTGTTTCAATAGTTCAGTTTGCCTTGCAAGAACTCGACAAAAAGCAGTTCTATAAAGTGCAATAAGAAAAAGAAGAAATAAGCCTCGAATTAGTTTGAAATTTGGCCAAGTCTTGAATCCGATCAGCGACCTAAAAATTATGAGTCTCACTTACTTAATCAATAACAAAGCCACAAATAAAGCAGAGAACAGATGCTATGAAATTTCCAATGCTACAGATCGTGATTATAGCAAAAAGGCTACCAAATAAGTGAACCCTTTTAATGAAGGTTCATACTGAAACACTACGACCTCAAGCACTCAAACAAACTGAACTAAAAAGAGATCAAAAGTTAAACCGCGAAAAAAGAAATTCGAGCCTGAACAAATTTTAAGACTTTTTCCAAAAAAAATAAAAAAAATCATGACGAACTTTTCAGAGAAAAACACTTCGTTCTTTTGCACTTTAAGAAAACCAAAAATTCGATAAAAATTGCGAAGCTGAATTTTTATTTTCTTCATCTCTGAAAAAAAAATTTTGGTTTTTATTTTCTGTCCTTAAATCAAATTGGTCAGAGCATTCTGTGCTATCTGCACAGCAACCGGCTATCCTTGTTTCTGTTGGCTTCAACTAACAAGAGGAATATAATTCATACACTTACATCTGAAACAGTGAGCACAAGCTGTCTGACTATTGCCGAGTACGGGCCGGATGACCTGGATGAACATTTTCCGTCCGATTTGCATTCGCTTTCGAGGCCATTCGACGAACTGTTCATATAAATATTACTTTCATCATCTTCGCCTTCAGTTGAGAAATCATCTCCGTGCTCATTAGGCATAAAACCTTTCTTGCTCAGAAGAGTGACATTAATTCTTCCGAATTTGAGAGATTGACCTTGAACCTCGGGCCAGTATGGCTTTTCTTTCTTCTGGCCATCTGTTGGTAAGTCTCCAATATACACAATATAGGATACTTTATGCTGTAAGACCATCCACCAAAATGTTTTGTGTTTCACTTCATAAGGGAGGTCTGTCACTATGAACTTCTTCAACTCGTCGTTGTATCCACAGATCCAAGATGCATTCAGGTATGAACTGTACACTTCGTGTATGATGTCGGCGGGGAATCGGACGAAGTTGTATTTATAGGGTACTTTCTGGAAGTCGCGTGGAAATGTCTCTTCTCGCCCGTTGTAATCCCCTTTCTCCTTCTCAAGGTGGTGTTCTCTGTACTTCTCCACAAACTCAACATTCTGTAAACATATCCAAAACTAGTATTAAATGCAAAGTAATAATTAAACAGCAGAACACAGTTTGATAGTATATTTAGAAAAAATTGGTTCCTAAGCCTTTCTAATAGTCGATTCAATTGAGTTATCTCCAGCGGATTATACTTCCAGAACATAATTAACAGACAGTTGGAAACGAATTAATGCAAAAAAGATACTGACTTAATTTTTTGAAAAAAATCTCAGCTTTCGAATTTCAACGAAAAATCGATGGCCTTAAATCTCTTTGAATTTCTAAAACAATTTATTATTGACATTTTTTGATATTTCACTGATAAATCTGATCATTAAAACCAATTTTTGCAAATATGTCCATCGACTCTAAATAATTTCAAAACATGGTTTTTTTTAAGTCGAACAAATTTATTGTTTTCTGAGCTCTCCCAAACCACTATATAACGACCCTAATTTGACCAAATTTTCTGATCCGCAGGCAAATTTTTGAAAAAAAAAGCGTTTTTAGGCACTTTTTGGAAAATTTCGACCAAAAAATCGCTTTTTTTCGGCGCGCGCTCCCCCCTCAAAATTAGTATAGACTGTCGAATCCCTGATGGGGCGAGGCGTCCCCCCCCCCCCCCCACCCCAAACCGCTACTGGGTAGAATATATACTTTTCCATTGAACATCAGACACCTAGTAGGGTAGCAATTCGTACCTGCAGCTGTCTTAGGACAGTGGTTTTGATGGATTGGGAGAATTGATTGTTCTGCAGAGTTTTAAGTTGCATCCTACACGGAGCGAACAGAATGTGTTCCAGTAAAGCTTGGTGGATGAACCGGTACTGACACTGAAACAAAACACAAACAAATATTGCAGAGTTTTTCTACTTTATCTGTGATCTTGATTTTTGTTAACCGTATGGAACCACTGAATACTTTGGCAATTGCAACTGTCATAAAAAGACAAAACTGCATTTCACAAACACAAGCAAAAAATAAAAACGGAACAAAATACAAAACTGTCTTTGGGAGATGAGCTTACGAAAAAACGCAAATACCTCTGCAAATCGGATATAGTTAGATCAGGCTGTTTAATTAACGCATAAACTATGCACTTAAACGTGCGACTTTGGTTGCATAGAAGTGCACTGATCTTCTAATACTAGAGTGCTTGCGTAAAAACTGAATGAAAACAGCGGGAGCGGGGTACTTACAACTTTCTGGACGAATTTCTTCCTCTGGGCCCTGAGTTGCCAGACGAACCTGTGCACATCCACCTTGTGGTCTCTCTCCAGCATCTCTCGCAGGTAGTGGGCCGCAATGAACGTGCCAGTCCTGCCAATTCCAGCTCTAAACATATCACACGACACATTACAAAACACTAAATAGCATACATATGGATTTTTGATGCTTGTATTTGAAAAAAAAAATTGTGTTAAGTTCAAAAAATCAAGAATAATTTAGTTATTTCGTTATTTCTGGTTATATCTGGTTATAGAATACTTTGGTTATTTCACGCCTCAAGTTCATTTCACGTCTCAACTACTAATCTTCAGTTCTTTCACTTTCGCTTCCCTCTAAATACGCCCATAATAACTTGAGCAAGCTTTGCTTATAATGGGATGCTAAATATATGCTTACCGACAGTGGACCAACACAGGAGCGTGAACACTCTCGTGGTATGCCATGGCGGTGTCCATGAAAGACCAGAAGCTGCTTGTATCTGTCGGGATCCCGTAGTCGTTCCACATTGTGAAGTGGAAATGGTGCACTATCTTCGTCTCCCCCGGTTCGCTCATGTTCTGATCTTGACCAGCGCCACTGCTCGTGGAGCTCGAATCAGATTGGCTATTGTTTGAGTTGCGACTACGCTTAATTTCATCTTCTTCATTACCTGTGTTGTTCTCGGACTGCGACGAAGACTCGTAGTTGTTGTTCACAGGTGTCTGAAAGTCACATGTAGATTATGAAACCTAGCATTTTAGCTAAACAACATTCATTGTCCATCACATTCAAAATTTGCAAATGACTCAATTTTTTGGAACTATTTAAAAAAAGAATTCATTTCGCCAACTTTGTCATAAAAAACAATGATGCGTCAGCTTTATTTCAACAAACTATCAGACATATTTTCAACTTTGATCATAATCTTCAGAAACCAACTAACTTGTATATTAACATTATTCACAAAACACAAAAGCGAAGCAACCCTTTACAAATAGCTGTTCCGAAAAAATGACAGGCAGCTTAAATTGAAAAAAAAACATGAATTTGTTTAAAAAAACTTAAACCGCTTGAAACTTTGCTTTCGAAAAACTAACTAATTTTAAACGCTGAAGGCATCAAATTTGGCTTCAAAGAGAAATGATACATCAAAAAACACAAGTTGGTAAAGCGTCGAGATTCGATATTTGGCTGGAAAATATTTAATGGAAATTTTTTGGAAAATAAACTTTGTAAGAACTTCATTTTCGATTTCCTTTCAGACGCGCAGTTGACAGCGTTTTAAACAAAATTCATCAAAAAAAAACAACGGATATGTTGAAACTTCGAAGATCTTAATTTTAAAAGAGTGAAAGCGAACGAGAACATAGCCAACAGAAGAAGCTATGAAACGAGAAGACTGGAAAAACCACAATTTTTGAGAGAAAAAAAAGTTTTTCAAGAAAAAATTATCACTTTGAAGCTCTGAGAATTTCAAGAAAAATTTGCAATTGACCCTTTTTTTATGAAAAACAACTCAAATTGAGAAACTTGAACTAGAACAAAAACAGCCAACAGAAAGTTGGAAAAGAGTCAATGAACGCAAGAAACACGAAAAAAATACTGACCTTTTTTTTGAAAAAATATCAACTTTCAAAAAAATCTTAAATAGATGGCCTTGAAGCTCTTTGAAGAATCGATAATGGAGTTTCCCTTCCTTTTGACAAAGAAATTATTTGAACTTGAACAAAGCCGAACCGCAAAAAAGAGTACATTTGAACCTGAACAAAGCTGAAACCCTTTTCCTGAATTAAAACAAACAATCATCAAGACCTATATAAGAGTCCGAACTAGGTTCATCGACTCTTAAACATAGCCAACAGATAAATAGAACAGATTCAATGAACGCAGGGAAATTTTTTAAAAAAACAGTTTTTTTTTGAAAATGCAGCCAGCTGACAGTTGGAAAAGAGTTACCGGCACAATGAGAAAACTGAATAATTAGAATCTGATAATTTCAAGATTGGTTAGTTTTTTAAACTAAAATTTAAAAAAATGAAAAAAATCTGAAAAAAAGGCCATATCTCGAAAAGCGAAAAGATTTGAGCAGTCATACTTGAAAGCAAGACTTGCAACCCCTGAGTGTACCTTGACAGCACATCACTACAGGGTTAATAATTTCAAGATTTGTTAGTTTTTTAAAAATTTAAATTAAAAAAATGAAAAAATCAGAAAAAAACGCCATATCTCGAAATCCGAAAAGATATGAGCAGTCATACTTGAAAGCCAGACTTGCAACCCCTGAGTGTACCTTGGCAGAACATCACTACAAGGTTGGGAAATTCAATTTTGGTTAGTTACTTTTTTTATCTAAGTTTTTTTCATAAAAAATTCATAAAAAACGCCAAATCTCGAAAACCAAAGAGATTTGAGCCGTTATTCTTGGACGCCGACTTGCAAACCCTGAGTGTACCCTGAAAACACCCCACTGCAGTGTTGAGAAATTCAAATTTTCTAAGTTTTTTTATATCTAAGTTTTTTTTTTTTAAAAACTAAAAATTCATAAAAAACGCCAAATCTCGAAAACTATAAGAATTTGAGCACTCATATTTGGACGCCAGATTCGCAACTTCTGATAGTACCCTGAATCAATTAAAGGTTGCGAATTTCACATTCGGTTAGTTTTTTATATCTGAAGTTTTTGCAAAAAAAATGAAAAAATTATGAAAAAAAGCCATATCTCGAATACCAAAAGGATTTGAGCAGTCAGAATTGGACGTCAGACTTGAAAACCCTGAATTTACATCCCACTATAGGATTGAGAATTTCAAATTAATTAGTTTTTTTATATCCAAGTTTTTGAAAAAAAATCTTAAAAAACGCCATATCTCGAAAACCAAAAGGATTTGAGCCGTCATTCTTAAGCGGTAGATTTGCAAAGCCCGAGTGTGCCCTGATAGCATCCCACTAGAGTGTTGAGAAATTTAAGATCGGTTAGTTGTTTTATATCTTATTTTTTTGAAGAAAAAAAATGAAAATATCATTTAAAAAAATGCCATTCTCTAAAACATGTCAACATAAGGACTTCTTAAACATGTCTCACATGAAACGCCAATTAAATAATAGATAGATAGTTTATCGAAAAAAGAAGTCAATTCGTGATCTTCACACTTGCGCTATTCGATAGTGGAGTTTGCCTTCCTTTTAACAAAAGAAATGAACTGAACTTAAAAATAAAAAAAAAGTCAAACTGCGAAAAGTTAATTTGAGCATGAACAAATCTCTTACTGAAAAAAAAGACTTACTGAAATAAAAAACATCACGGCCTATATAAGAGTCTAAATTAGGTTCATCGACTCTAAAAAAAACAAGAATTTATATCAAAGCAGAGTAGGTAAATTTAGATTTAGCATAAAAAACGACTAGAAAGGGTTAAGTGCAAACATGCTCAAACAAAGAGGCGAAGTTGCACTTTGCATACACAAGCAAAAATTCGACCGATAACGCTACTGGGAATGAGTAAGACTTTGAGTCTTAAGTGACGCACGCTAATTATGGTTTTTGATGTCTACATAATTGTTAAGTGAGGCAAGCCAATTATGACACATAAGCAGTACCAGACAATTTGAAAAAAAAAAGTTTTACCATGCCTCAATTTATAGAGCGGACGCAATTTAACAAGTATACAAAAAAAATCATTAAAACAACCGACCCTGCCCAAGTTTCGAACCCTCTTATTTTGTTGCTGGCCTCCTTCCCTACCTCTACGCTACAGATCCATGATACCTTGCAGTTGAAGTACTATTTGTAATATAAGTCTTTGTTAATATCCTCAGCATTGGCTGTACTTAATAGCTGGTTTTTGATCAAAATGAACACTTTCAAGATGAACACATTTTGTCGCAACAATTGCATCGCAACAATATTTGCGACTTAGGTTGGAAAAAATGCTATGCTTGTGTAAAGACGTTAGTTGGCGTTCCAGTTATGCTCAAAATTAATCAAAGTCGACTCAAAATGATCCATTGATTCTGTATTGCAATTTGCTAGACTGAGAAGAGTTACAACTCCGATTTGACAACGAGTAAAAATTGGCAGGTGGACGGGAAAGACAAATCTAAATAACTTTTTAAGGAACTTTATTGTTCCTTTTATACTGAAATCCTTGGTATATCGAGGTTTATTTTCGTTGTCATGCATTTCATTGGAATCGATTCATTCAAACAAAGTTTATTAGCTGCTGCTTAACTCAAACAACTACCTTGTAACACACCTCCGGTGCTTTAAAGAGATTAATGAACATGAAAATTGCTTATTTATACATTAAATGAAAATCGACGAGATTGATGCAACACTAACAATATACGGGATATCTAAGCACGCTTTCTAATTCATAAATTGAGCAAATAAAACACAGCCAACTTTTAAGTTCTCTTTGAACTAAAATGGTAACATCTCCAAAACTACTGGGTTTCAGATTTTCTTTTTTTTTAAACTCAGAAACAGAATCCAAAAATGGCCGAAGCATAAAACTGCACTTTCAATGTTCAAAAAAGAGCCAAAAGGCAGTAGCAAAAGGAACGCAATAAACAGCTAAAAGTCTTCTTGAAAAAAAAATTTAACTTTCGAAATTCAAAAAATAGACACCATTAGAGCTCTTTAAATTTCTGGAACAATTTATGATTGGCACTTTTATGATAAAATGAACCCAAATTGAGAAAACTGTGGATCAATAAGTAAATCTTTTGTTTCGCTGGGAAATCTGAAAATTAAATTCCGCTTTTGATTCTAAAACTAGATCACGTTCGATAGGGAAGTTTGCCTTCTTTTCAACAAAAGAAATTAAGTGAACTTGAAAATCAAATCAAAACTCAAACCGCGAAAAATCAAATTTTATTTGAACACATTATAAGACTTTTCTATAAAAAAAAATGAAAACAAAAAAATCATCGCGACCTATTCAAGAGCCTGAACTGCGTTCATCGATTTTTAAAAATTATGAAACCGTTGTCACTTACCAAATCACGAAGTTCGAAAATAAGATTCTCGCTTAACATAGTTAATTAGCTTCATTAGCCTGTACAAACATAATTTGCTGCCATCAATTGTTTTGCCCAGCCCGCGTAATTAATTGAAACACCACTCTCTTTTCTTCATTTAATGAAAACTTTCAAAATATCATAAAACGCCAATTTCAGAGACTTACAAATGTGAGCAAGAACATCAAGATAGACGCCACATCTGCAACTGCTTGCAGTATCCTGACATCACCCCACTAAAGGTTCGGCCATTTCAAACTTTGAAAAATTTTGAGAAATCATAAATTTTTGGAAAATCATGAGAACAAAACATCTAGGAACATTAAAAAGGTTGATCACTAAAATTTGGGGGCCGGATACAAACCTTCTGAGAGTACCTTGACAGCAAGTGTTGGGAATTTCAAACTACAGAAAGTTTTTTAAATCTAAGTTTCTTGAAAAACTTTACAAAATCATAAAAAAATATCGAAAATAAGATGATTCGAGCATTCAATACTGGAATCAAGACCGGCAAACCTCCCAGGTTACCCTGAGAACATTTCAATATAGATTTGGAAATTTCAAATTTATGAAAATTTTTAAATCCAGTTTTTTTTGAAAAATTATGAAAAAACAATAAAAACGTTATATCTCGGAAACTAAAATAATTTGAGCAGACAAATTTGCGTCCTCTGAGAGTACCCTGACAGCGCCCAACCACAGGGCTGAGAACTTTGACTTTTGTGTAATTTTTTTAAAACCACAAAAAATCACAAAAATCGTCTAATCTCGAAAACTAAAAGGATTCGGGTATTCAAATTTATAGGCCAAAGTCCCAATCCCTCGGTGAACCCTGACAGCATCCAAATATAGCGTTGTTAATTTGAAACTTCATGAAACAAACAATTACTTCAAACTGGAAAATCAAAAAAAATCTTGAGCCCTTGAGCGTTGACTATACATAGATTAAACGTGAACATTTTTTTTGTTAAACATGCAAAAATCATACGTTAAAAAGGCTTGAACATGGCGAGATAGTAAAGCTCGCATTTAAATACATAATAATTTGAAACATTTTTTCAGATAATTTACTAATCTTTGCCACAGACCGGTCGATCAGAACTATCTAAACTACACACGGCACGATAAGTCTTGTTTGCTCGCCACCCTAGACCTTTATTTCTTTGAGACAGGGAAATTGATGAAAGACAACCTGACCATGAAATACAGTGCAATGTAAATGAAAGAAGCCTGGATTCTGAAATATTCTAGGATTGACACATTTCAGATGAAGTAAATGAATAGAGAATATTGGATTAACAAGTAATGCTTTTATTCTGCCGGAAATTCTAACATAAAAATACTCTTTTGAAACTAAGATGGAAACCTAGCGTGAACAATATTTAAAACATTTTCCAGTAGAATCACACGAACCTAAATCAGTGAATATTCGTTTGGTTAATATACGCTTTAAAAAGAGCAGAAAAGCAAGAAAAAAATCGGCAAGGATACAGCAGAAAAGCAAGGAATCGTACTTAAATAGATAGTTTGGGAACCTATGCAAAAACGATGTCCATCACATTTATTATAGTTTAATAGAGGAAGGAAAGAAGAAAGAATGAGAATGAGGACTGGTAAGTGCTTACGAATGTAACTTGGAACACCCTGTGGTCCATGTAGGAGTAGATGGATCTCTTATCTGTCATGGTCACTGTGTAGTTGCCATACACCTGTGTGGCCCCCTCGTGGTCATCGAAGTCGGGCCAGTACTGCACACCATCCTTGCCACTCGACTGAAAAAAAAATGAACAATATAATGTACACGCAACATCACATACATAGCCAACAGTTCGACGAACTAATTAAATCACTTTAAAGCTTAATATTATCCCATTTAGAGAAAACTGGATGACTAAAATATTATGATTGGCACTTTTTAGACAAAATTAACCCAATTTGAGAAAACTGGATCATAAAGTCAAATTTTCGTTTTGCTGGGAAAGCTGAAAAGTAAATCCACTTTGAAACTAGAAGTCCATCACGTTTTTCGCGGCCTTTACATTTTTTCTGTTCGATAATGGAGTGCCTTTGTTTTGACGAAGGAACCGAACTGAACTTAAAAAGAAACCGAAAGTCAAACCGCGAAACATCAAATTTTAGCCTGAAACACAAATTTTAGCTTCGCAAACACTAGCGAGAAAAGACAAAAAGCAGCTTTATAAAATAGAATAAGAATTATAAATAAGCCTCGAATTAGCAAATATTCGGCTATGTCTGAGATTCGAACCTGCGACATTGAGCTTAAGAGTCACACACACACTAATCACTCAGCCACGGAAGCTTATTAGTAAATAGAATATAGAAGATTAAACTCAAGCCAAAAATAAAGCCGAGAACAGATGCTATGCAATTTCCAATGAAACAGTGAAATTTCCAAATAAGTGAACACTTTGAATGAACACTTATTTAGGTTAGAAAAAAAAGGAGGTTCGTATTAATACACTAAGCTGACGCTAGTGTAAAGACTTTTCCTGTAACAAAAAAACACGAAAATCTTGATTAATCATATCAAATCTCGACTTTTTTTTGATAAAATTAACCTAATTTGAGAAAACTAGATCATTAAGTCAAATTTTGGAAAACTAGTGATTAACTGGGAAAACTGATTATTAATTTCCACTTTCGAAAATAGAAGTCGATCACGTTTTTGTAATTTTTACACTTTTTCTGATCGATAAAGACAGTTGCCTTCCTTTTAATGAAGGAAATGAACTGAACTAGAGAGAAAAATCATGACGAAGAATAAAATGATCAGGACCAAAATAATTCTATCGTTACACTTAATAAATAATCATATTAAAATATAGCCTACAGACGGTTAGAAAAGAGACAATGATCGGAAGGAAACAAAAAAATATAGATTAATTTTTAAACAACTTCACTTTCGAATTTCGAAGTAAAAATGCCGGACCTTTATGCATGACTCTGAATTATAAGCACAATTTATGATTGAAACTTTTTTGATACATTAAAATTAAGTTGAGAAAACTGGATCAACAGGTCAAGTTTTTAATCCGCTGGGAATTCTGAAAAATTAAATCCCCTTTCAAAATATGAAGCCTATCACATTTTTCGTGACCTTTGCACCTTTGTTCATCACTCTTAATATTGTTTCAATTAATTTGAACTGGAATTATCCACCTCACTATACTTATCAATAATTGAACATAGTACAAACGATATACGAAACAAACCAGCTTTTTTAAGTTATAAATGCTACAAAAGACGTGTTTGAACATTGGATTTGTTGGGTTGAAAAGTCTTAAACATAGCTGAATGACAGCTCTGCCAACCGCCTCAAAAACCGCAAAAATTGAGAGTTTTCGACCTTTTTTTCAGATTTCGAAATAAAAAAATTATCGCATTACAGCTCTTTGAGTTTCGAGAAACTTTTTTGGTTGTCAATTTTTCTTCGATAAAAGCCATATTAGAGAACCCTGGTTCAAAAGGTACTTTTTTAAAATTCCATTTGGATTTCTTAAAATGAACGTTCATTTTTAAACTAAAAGTCATTAATGTTCTTTTTTGTTCTACTTACACCGTTGCTATTGGAAAGCATTACGTGCCTTCAATTGAGCAAATGAATATCAATTGAACTAAAAATCATTATTCAGACCGCGAAAAATCAAATTGGAGTGTAAACTTTCAAAACTTTTCCGAAAAACGATCTCCTTCATTTACCTTTTAAATATCGATTCAAAGACTGTTATAACGTTTCTTGGTATCATATCTAAATAAATAACCATAAACTTGAAGCATTTTGGCTCAAAATGATTCAAAAGATGAGATCCTCGATAAAAATCAAGTTACCGGACAACAAGACACTAGGAACTAATTTATTACAAACATGTGCTTTTCAGTCAATTTTTTTCATGGACATTTCTAAAAACCTCGTAGCAGATCGAATTAGATATTATATTTAAGTCATTTCAGTCTGATTTTGGTTTAGATGAATAAATTGCAAGAAATTTTTTAGCATCGACAAAAATTGGTTTGAATATCACACCAATCAAGCTTCGATTAAGATCATATCTGTTTGGTTCTTATATAAAAGACATAACCAACAGACAGTAGGAAAAAATTCCATGAATGCAAGTAAGTAGAAAAAAATTCTGACTTGTTTTTTTTGCAAAAATCTCAATTTTCAATTTCAAAGAAAAATATGGACAAAAGACAGTTGGAAACGAGCCATGAACGCAAAGAAAAAGAAAAAACACTGACTTTCTTTTTTTGAAAAAACTTTAACTTTCGAATTTCAAAGTAAAAAAGACGGTCTTAAATCTCTTTGAATTTCAATGACAATTTATAATTGACACTTTTTTGATAAAGGTATCCCAATTTGCGAAAACTGGATTAATAGATGATTTGGGAAATCTGAAAATTAAATTCCACTTTCGAAACTAGAAGTTTTTCGATAACGTTGTTCGTGACCTTTACACTTTTTGTTTCATAGGGGAGTTTGCCTTTGTTTAACGAAGGAAAAAAACCTGAACTTTAAAAAAAATCAAACAGCGAAAAATAAATTTGAGCCTGAATAATTTTTAAAACTTTTCCAGAAAAAAAACTTTAACTTTCGAATTTCAAAGTAAAAAAGACGGTCTTAAATCTCTTTGAATTTCAATGACAATTTATAATTGACACTTTTTTGATAAAGGTATCCCAATTTGCGAAAACTGGATTAATAGATGATTTGGGAAATCTGAAAATTAAATTCCACTTTCGAAGCTAGAAGTTTTTCGATAACGTTTTTCGTGACCTTTACACTTTTTGTTTCATAGGGGAGTTTGCCTTTGTTTAACGAAGGAAAAAAACCTGAACTTTAAAAAAAAATCAAACAGCGAAAAATAAATTTGAGCCTGAACAATTTTTAAAACTTTTCCAGAAAAAAACTTTATCGACGCGACTTATATAAAAAATGTTTTGTCGTGCTTATCCCTTAAAAATAATTATACATTGGCGCCAAAGGCGCCTATAGAAAATAAAGGTTGGTCCGCTCAAAATGAATGCCATTAATTGATACCAAAGGGGTGACACTTTGGTTGGTAATTGGGTCAAACCTTTGAAGGAGGCGTCAGCCTCACCCTTGCCCCACTAAACCAATCTCTGATTGAAATGATTCTGCCGTTGATAAAATATCCTTGATTTTAACTCATTGATGTTAGGGACCAACTAAATGAGGCTCATTTTAGACACTTACCACATTGAATGATGCGAGCATGATTAGGACATCACAGTTGTACTCATAAACTATCTGCCAGAACTGGTTGATGTAGTAAGACTGATCGGGGCCCTGGATGGCTATGAATTTCGTGTGCAGTCCTGGAAACTGGATCAGGCTGCCGTTGGTTTTGTCTTTGTTTGGGTTATTTTTGATGCCGTGTGTCAATTTGACTCGATTGAACTCGTCTGAAAAATCACAAATTCATGTCATATAACAAAATAATTTTGTAAAAACTAATTCATTAGACTATTTTCTTTTACGAGGCGAAGCAGATCTTGACACCACTTGCAATACCACAAAATAATTTTAAAAAGCGTAAGTCGAAAAAGAAAAAAATTGAAAAAAAACTAGGTGAACCAAAATTTTCTTATGTCTCGATGAAGTTCACCTAGGGCCCAGCTTAAGCTGGAGGTACGTGTTTGTTATCTTTTGAATTTGTTACTGATGCGGGACGAAACATATTTTCAAAAGTTGGACTTTGCCCAAAACCTTATACAACCTTACATAATTTCGATTGAACCCAAAAACCAAGGTTTGGCAGGGAAGTTCGCGAGAAAAATGAAAAAGTATCAAAAAACGATCAAAAATTTAAATTTTGACTTTTCCGAAACCATAACTTCTTGTGTAAAAAAAACTGTGGGTAACCGCTAATGCAGGGGAGCTTCCTACTACCCGTTATCTGAATTGAACCCACAACCTCAGGTTTAGAAGGCTAGTTTCCGAGAAAAGTTTTTAAAAAATTCAATAACGGTTAAAAATATCAAACTTTGTGTAAAGCAGTTTGGGCGGAGCCGCTTATGGAGGTGAGTTTTTCACATCCATTCTATTCATTGAAACCATTTCATTGATTTAGTAGGTTAGTTTTGGAGAAAACGAAAAAAAATCCAACATATCGGTCAAATACTCCCCCACAGACTTTTTCGAAGGCTGTAGACAAATGGGTAAAGCAAAAAGATACCAGAAGAGTAGGCAGACACACATCAATGTAGGAGGTACTTCTATGGATGCCCCTTTTTTAAGAAATCGGTAAAAGAGTTTTTGAGAAAACTAAATTTCTCTGCAAAAAGTGGTTAAATTTTCTCCCCCCTAAATTACCCTGTAGTACTACTTTCCACCTAGTTATTAAATTAAAATTTTCATGAAATTGAGCACGTCAGCAGCATAGTGATTTAACTGATTTTGTTAAACTAATGTGAACTAGAAAAGAGTCTTCATTCCGATTTGATAACGCTTGCTAATTGCAAGCGTAAAAAGTTTACCCCCCCCCCCCCGAATGAGAGTGCGAGCTATCAGTTTTTTTCTCCCAGGTGGATGGAAAAACAGCCAAGCTATCTGATTGACTGAAAGGTGTGCGCTTGTAAATGAATAAATAGACGAGTTGCACTCGATTTTCTATATCAAAAATGAACTTTTCTAGTCCAGCTAACTTCGACTTTACGGACGTCTAACCGAAAAGGCCTGCATATATTTTCTTTTATAAAATTGATTCACCATGTATGAGGTATTAACTTTTAAATTCACTAATCTTGAATGCCAAGAGCAAAGCAACATGTTGTGAAACTTCAAAAAAGCAAACGTCTCAAAAACTCTCAGTGTAAAGACGGTAACACTTCGAGAGCCTCAATTGTCTCTTAACTTTAAATGTATTCATTTGATACATTTCGTTCATCTACTAATATTACCAAAAATTATAAATCCACTAAGAGTCATTTACGTCTTTTATTCCATAAATTCTCACTCGTAATATAAAAGGGATTTTTCAAGTATAAGATGATGTATTAATTCACCTGATTTTGGTTATGACTAACTTAAAGACCTCAACTTTCAAATCAAAGGTCAGGTGTGATTTCGAGCCCAAACATGCATCATAACCACAGTGCCACTTTTGAAAGTTCTATTCAACCAAAATGGCTCTTTCCACTCACCGGGAAAGAAAATTCTCAAAAATTATTGTTTCGAATCGTGTTTAAAATAATTGATTTGTTCACCATGCAAAATTTTAAATCAAATGAGAGAGGTGGTTAAAAATCCAAAACATGTACTAACATGGGCAGACATCGGAGAACTTGTTGATTTTGACTACCGAGGGATCATTTAGCACCTGAGGAGGCGCACTTTCCCCTTCCATGTACCCGTCATGCGCTATTCTTTCAAACTCGAAATCCCACTGCGTCATTTCATGGTACTTCGGTTCCGGTTCTAGAGGTTGTCCAGGACAAGGAAGGCCTCTACTCTTGTAGAACGTGTAGTAAAAGTGAGGTGTTGTGCACTTTCTTTCTACAAACTCCTTTGCGTTTTCATTCGACATTTGAATCACACATTTTCTTCTGTCTTCTAAATACTCTGGACCATACTCTTCAATAAGCGCCACTTTGAAATCATTGTCAGCTTGCATTCTTTTCTGGGGGTCAACTTGCGCGTAATTATTCATTTGAGCTACTTGAGGGATGTTTGAGTTTGACAATCCATGAAACCCATTTGAATTTATAGGGACCATTGCTACATTGAGGTTGTTGCGTGAGCTAACACTTCCGTTGTTCTGGCCCATTAGTTGATTGTTGTAAGGGTTGTTCTCTATAAATGCTGAATCGTTCACATCTTCTCCGAATCTGAGTTTTGAAAATATTTGCATTCCTTCACACCTTCGATTTCTAAAAATAAGCAAAACTACTTCTCTAAGACTTCGAGGATGACTAAGATGCATACTTGTTACGCTACTTTGACCAGCTTGACGAACGTGCTTGACTGCTTTTACCTGCGCATTAAAACTAACAACAGAGTTGAAGTTGACCTCATTCATGAGGTCAGCAGCCGTTTGCTAAGAGCACAACAGCGCAGCTCATTTGTAGCCCACTCTCTTTTGTGGATAAATGGTCTCAAAAACATGTGATAATGTTAGATCTAAGAATTGGCGAAATTTTGCTCTGAATATATTCGCAATAACATAAGTTCCGTCTTGGTTTAACTTATGACTTAGACAACACTCCACAATTATAGTTGAATTACGACGTCCTCTGAGCTATGCTTACTACAGTTTTAGACATCTCTGAGGTTTTTGAAACAAGGCAGAGATTACAAACTCGTAGGATAGACCAATACAATGCTGTTGAATGTGTACTTTTCGGACACGGTAAATGCAGTCCTGAACGTACCGCTGGATCAATTTCCATAGTTCATAAAACCCAAGTGCAGCACTCAATGGTACTTTAATTAAATGCAGGTTGTTTTGTTACATGCGAATAATAAAACCTTACTTTTCTCTACACAGGTAGTAAAATGTCATAAATTTTCCCACTTGAAATTAAAGACTTAATTTAGAAAAACACGGTCCCGAAACCGTACGTGATTGCATCGCTTAGACAACACAACTAGGCAAGTTGTAAATTTTTGCTCATTTCGAGCATGCAAATAATTCTCCGGCAGCAACCTGGAATATAAAATTCCTTCTCAGAATATCAACAGTACCTAGTCCAAATTTATTATAATCCATAATACATGTTGTCTATTTACACAGGATTCGACCAGCATTGTTGAGGGCCATTACAAGTATAGAGTCAAGCAGTAAACTGTGGTAATATCGTGTGTACTCAACTCTGAGCTCGAGTAATGATCAATCAAACGTGTCTACTAAACATGGCGCACTCGCCTTCATAGGTTTTGTTCTTTGTCACCAGCTGTCAATTGAAGGAACCGTTTGAAACATATTTGAAGTTCTCTCTCTACCTTTAAAGCCAATTTATATGCAAATAGGTATCATGTTCAAAGGCTTCGTGATTTAAACTGATTCAATTGAACACGCCTAAAACTCTTATGATTCTATTTGTTCGCTTGGTGTAAGAAACCTTCGGAGCTTGTTAGCTTTGCCCCCACTAAGGTTTCGATAAATAAAACACCCCTTCAGCTTATTTTCAGCCTGAGATCCAAAAAACTCTGCGAGTACTGACACTAAAAACTTCGGATCTATCCAACTGACCCTAATGTAAAAGGGGAAACATTCAACGAGTACCATTTGATAATAGATGACAAGATCTGAAAATTCGCTCGAAAAAACTTGAAATCGTACAGGCTAAAATTTTTAAAGAAAAACGAGCACATTTTGGCAAAAAGAATAATTTTTTCAACTCTTTACATGCAAAAAGAATTCTTGGTACAAAATTTGCTAGCCAGTGAGAAAATCATATGACCCGTTTTTAATCGTCTCTGAATATATTAAGGTCTACTGGTTGACAAAGACGGCATATCTTACAAAACATATCACTTTTACAAGATTCTTGAAAGATAGCCCATCCTCTTCAATTCGGATTTAGCCTGGTAACAGGCAGCGTTGAGTTTGATGAGTATTTGAAAAATTGTATGATTAGTTTGTGTGGTATGTGTTGTTGACGGAGTGTGCTAAAAAATGTTGACACTTCGTCAGCAAATCAGAATCGAGATGAGAAAACAAACGTACAAAATAAATAATTATTTATTAGTCTTTGTGATGCGACAATTCGTAACAAACGACAATTCGTAGCAGTAGATTAAGCGGGTAACAATGATTCACGCGCAATATTCAACTCGTGCCGGATGTAAGCACAGCGGAGCAAGCGTATTCTACTTACCAATGCCTTGTTACGATTGTGCCAGTGCCCTACCATTAGTCTTGCGTACGTTTCTTTTCTTTTCTCGATTCTGATTGGCTAACGACCTGACCTTTCTCTTTTTTTGCACTTAACCGTTGTGCTGACCTGGTAATGAAGAGAAGAGAGAGGATGATTAGGGAGAGGATGAGGATTGTGGTGAGAATCGTGATGGGAATCCACATACTGCCGCCTGACTCTAAAAGAACAAAGAACAACTGAATAAATGAAGTCAAATCACAGTCAGAGTCTCAGTCAAATTAATCCCCCATACCACAAATTGGTATTTACTTAAATTAGTATACTTAGTGAGGATAACATAGACCAAGTGAACAAAAGTGAACAAGTTCAAGGAATTTGAACAGACCGGTTACAGTGGCCAACGACTAGCGAGTTTCAAAACCAAACCGAGTTTTGGCGAATCTAAATCTCTCGTGTTTGTTTTTCCAACTTATTTGAGTAATATAATGACAAAAAAAACATACTACTGCTACCAATGGTGGTCTTAAGTGACTTGCCTTTGAAACAGTACAAAAAATTGACTTTTACGTTGAAGAATCATAGGAGTGTAACCTTCCATTCGCCATCTGCTTTATTTTTTTCGAAAAAAAAATAGTTTGTAATACCCAGACATTGGGATCAGCGTCGTGGAAGCGAATGCCTGTGGCTGATCATAAGCTAGCAATTTGAAATTTTTTAAACTAAATAATTTGATGCCAAATTTGTTGAGGCTTGTGATTCAACTGGAATCGAACTTATTTGTTTACTGTAAGTAAAAACGAACCAAACATGAGACGAGTATGCAAACCGGCCATAAATTACGACAATTGCGCTGAAATTTGCAAGATTGTTGTAACTTACATAACTCGGATCTCTAACTATCACCCCACCTATGATACCTATTAAACAATAATCACCCCCCTGGAAATTCAGTTCACAAAGAACTAATTGGCGGTTGGGCCTATGCGAATTTTGTACCTAGTAAGGAGTTCCCTCTTTTGCTATATGTGTTGAAATAGTTGAAGAAATCCCAAAGTTGTTACAAAATAATAATTTAATTGGTCTGTAACTTCGGCTGATTTATAATTTATAAGTCTGGTGGTTTATAAACCAGTCCTCAATGGTATGGTATGCTAAATGATTACCTTTTGGGAGGACGTAGCTGAGTGGAAGGTAGTCACTTTTCCGGGCGAGTGTCTGAAACAACTCACATTAATATACACATGATAGCATAACTAATTCATTTTATTTAACCTCCGCTGTTTTCATTCATAAAAAGAAAATCTCAACAAATTAACACGCCGAAAACAACTGAACGTTCCGCAGGCAAAAAGAGAGACATGCCAAACTCGATCAGGTGTAGTCAGTGGCTGTGCAAGTATCATACAACATTCCGACAACTTAATTTAGTTTTAATTTCTTTTACGTTTTTTTTGCGTGAGAAGAAAGAAAATAAGCTTGGAAATATAAAGGGCTTTAGTTGTCATCAGATTTCTTTGTAAAATAATTATCGATAATGAAAACAATTTTCTTTTTTCAAACAAGCGATGCAGAGCTTCGCACTACTTGCGATACAACACACATATAGCATAACAATTCAACCAATAGATCAGAAAAATAGCCAAATGACAGTCGGGAAAGAGTAATGAACGCAAATAAACAGAAAACAAAACCACTGACTTTGTTTTAAAAAAATCTCAATTTTGGAACAAAAAATTAGAAGCCCATAAAGCTCTTTGAATTTCCTGAACAATTTATGATTGGCACTTTTCTGATAACATAACCCAACAAGAGAAAACTGGATCAATAGGCAAAATTTTTATTCCGCTGGAAATCTAAAAACTAAACTTCACTATCGAAACTAGAAAATGTTCACGTTTTTTGCGCAATTTCCAAGTTCGTATTTGGAGAGTGCTATTTACATCACTGTCGGCAAAGGAAATATCAATTGAACTCAAAAATTGCATATATACTTAAGTGCATTCATAAATGCATTCAGATATATGAATGCACATCTGTAGTTATTCGAGCATTTTAGGGCTTTTTCTTTAAAAAACCAAAAAAAGCAGTTATTAGAGCATTTAAGGACTTTTTCCTAGAAAAAAAAAACAAAAAAACACCGAGACCTATATAAGATACTTTCATTATTCTTGAAAATGAAAATCGATAATGAGCTTCGCACTACTTGCAATACAACACATACATAGCCTAACAAATTAACCAAAAGACAAGAAAATGAACACCGACAAAACTCCTAAAATTTTGCTTGCATCTGTCTTGATCGAATTACGACTTAAAGGGTTCTAATATGATATAACACTCGAAGCTACTGTCTTACAGTTACTTGTCGAACTTATTTTCACGTAATTAAAAATTGACAAAAAATGCAAACACTTGAATATAAAGATATTTCCCTTGAACGCAAGGAAACAGAAAAAATAATAATGGCATGTATTTTGAAAAACTTGAACTTTCAAACTTCAAAGATTTAACTCTTTGAGAATCAAAAATTAAAAAATGTTATCAACTAACAGTTGGAAAAGAGTGATGAATGCAACGCAAAGAAACTGAAAAAAAACTGACTCAATTTTATTCTGGAGCCTTCAACTTTTGAATTTCTGAGAAAAAAATAGATGACCATAGGGCTCTTTGATATTTAGAACATTTTATGATAGACTTTTTGTTACAATTAACCCAATTTGAGAAAACTGGATCAATACGTAAAACTTTTATTTCGCTGAGAAATCTGATAATTAATTTCCATTTTCGAAATCAGAAGTCGATCACGTTTTTCGAGACCTTTACTCTTTTGCAGTTCGATAGTGGAGTTTGCCTTCCTTTTAACATGGAATTGCACTGAACTTAAAAAAAAATCACAAGTCAAACAATTTTGATTTATCATGGTTTGACTTGTGATTTCTTTTTAAGTTCAGTGCAATTCCATTGTTAAGAGGAAGGCAAACTCCACTATCGAACTGCAAAAGAGTAAAGGTGTCGAAAAACGTGATCGACTTCTGATTTCGAAAATGGAAATTAATTATCTGATTTCTCAGCGAAATAAAAGTTTTACGTATTGATCCAGTTTTCTCAAATTGGGTTAATTTTAACAAAAAAGTCTATCATAAAATGTTCTAAATATCAAAGAGCCCTATGGTCATCTATTTTTTTCTCAGAAATTCAAAAGTTGAAGGCTCCAGAATAAAATTGAGTCAGTTTTTTTTCAGTTTCTTTGCGTTGCATTCATCACTCTTTTCCAACTGTTAGTTGATAACATTTTTTAATTTTTGATTCTCAAAGAGTTAAATCTTTGAAGTTTGAAAATTCAAGTTTTTCAAAATACATGTCATTATTATTTTTTCTGTTTCCTGGCGTTCAAGGGAACGAACTTTGTATTCAATCGTTTAAATCAATTCTTTGTGTTCCGCGATAACTCAAAAACAAGTTCGCAATTTTAGTGTTCGCACAGCTGCAACACTTCTCGTTTCTTCTGCACCAAGTGAAGTATAAACGTTTTGAAATATTCAAGCTTAAAAAAATTTTCTTAGTCATGCATTTTAAAATTTGAGAATTCCATCATTAATTTCTAACCTCATTGTAACTACAGGCTTTATTCTTCGCGGATGGCTGATTTACCGCCGCCACAACTAAGGCCAGATAGTTTCCAGGCGACAATTGCGCGTTCATTGCATCCTTACAGGGACCACATGAACTCAATTCCGGCTCCTCTTTTCCAGTGTTAAAACTATAGGTAACTTTATCCCCATTAAATTTATCCCCATCTATAGCCATTAAAAGATAAGGTCTCAGTTTGAGAGCATCTTTCATTGATTCGGATATTAGGAACTCGTTCAAAGTTTGGTCGATATACTTGATTTCCAGGTCTGCAAGGGTTTCAGTGGCCGTCATTGAAATAAGTAGAACGTAGTAGCACATTGACTGTCCGAGAGTTTTCTGCGCTTTGTTTAGGGTTATTGTCATTGCAGTAGCCTCAATACTAGGCGATGGGACAACACTTGGAGCTAAAAAAAAAAGATCGCCGATTTAAGTTGGGATCAGAGCCGGAAAAAGTGTCATACTGATTTGTATTTCAGCACTAATTGACACCAATTCTATACAGACAAAATTGCGCGTTGCAGATAGCACAGAATGTTCTGGGCACATTGATTAAAAAAAAAAAAAGTCAACAGACAGTTGGAAAAAAATCAATGAACGCAAGTAAACAAAAAATATTTAAATTTTAGAAATTCGAATAAAAACTTGGCCTGGACGCTCTTTGAACTTCTAGAACAATTTATCGCTGACAGTTTTTGAAAAAACTAATCTAATTTGAGAACACTAGATCAATAGGTAAAATTTTCTATTTCGCTGAGAAATCTAAAAATTAAATTCCATTATCGAAACATGAAGTAGATCACGTTTTTTGTGACGCTTACACTTTCGCTGTTCGAATAATCTTAATATATATATGTAAAACTTTTTTCAATTTGGGGTCATTTTTCTGCGTGGTGTGATTAAAAGATCTGAATGAAAAACTAGAGGTAAAGCATTTCAACAGTAATAGCAAAATAAGCAAATTGGACAACAATGTTTTTTTTTTGCTGAAACTTTTGAATGTTCGAAGTTTTTGATTCTCAAAATGGTATTATAACTACAAAATTTGAATTTATTTGAAAAAAAAACTTAATTTAGGCAGAAATACTTTATTCTAAGCGGCCTAAATTAAGCTTAAATAAGCCCGCTCGCTCGCTTTATTCGCTCGAATTAGACCCAAGAAAATTTCGAACGGTTTTTGCTCGACACTGAAATTTTTTTAAAAATTTTTTATGTCGTTCGAATTACGACTAAAATGGTTTTTATAAGACATCACTTGACCGTCGGTAACAAAAAAACAAACTCCCGAATAAAAAGTTCACATACATTTTTCAAATGGTCGGAACAATAAAATGAACATTCGAAATGATTCAATAATTCTGTTAGGTAAATTGTTTACCTGGAAAAAAGTATATCTTCCAGTTTGATAGCTCTTGCTTGTCGCAAACGTACATTTGATAAAACAAGAAGATAATTTTTTTAGCTTCACAAAAAATTATATCCCCTGAAGGCTTATTGAAACTCAAGAATCTTTAGAACTGACGCTTCGCTTTGTTGATAAAAGTATTTTGTAAAAATCAAGATATTATCTTCACACCACGTATTAACGCTCTATATATATAGAATTTTCCTTGCAGAGAGTAATTAATCCACCCCAAACACAAAAAAAAACGAGCTCAAACAAAAACTGAAATTTGATTTGTTAGTAATCGAACCGAAAGAAAGATATTGCGATAAACATTTGCTGAAATTTTGGATTTCTTAACAGAAGACATCCAATGAAAAAGATGAAAGTCTTTACAAAGGCAAAGCAGCTTTTAATTTCGTTATTTTGTTTCAAAGTTGAAAATATTTTTACAGGAAACTAATATATTTTTCGATAGTACGAATCTTCATTTAGCATACCTGTAGGTTTTGTACAAATGAGTCTGTACGCCTGTCTGTAGGCTTGCTTGAAGCTAATAGTAGAAACGAAGATCACATCTAGAGAAACAATGTAACACACTGCTGGCTGCAGCGGATCAAAAAATCCACTAGTGTTGCTACATTCTAAATTCGGTTCCGTCAACAGCCTCGCATATTCTGGATTCAAATTCTTCTGCTGAGAAATATCTGCAAGTTCGATGCAATAGCTCATACTAAAACAAAACCTTAAAAAACATAAATAGTAAATACAAACTTTAATATTTGGGTAACTAAAGTCGGATACCCCTTTACCCAATTATCTACTAATGATACTAATTTGCTTCAACAAGATGAAAGAATATCTAACCTATCAACTTTCCAGTACGACGATGCAATGTCTTTTGGCTCCGATTTACGCAATGTAACATTCAACGACTTTGTTTCGACATTCGACAGTACCAGCTCCAAAATCGGTATTTCAGGTGCATCGCATTTAGCTGTGAGATTAGATTTCATGCAAAGTGTATCCTCTTTTGTGATTGGTTGCATATCTTCATATCGTACGCATTTCCATTCCACAGATGACTTATTCTCAAAGGGTAGACACGTTCCGCCGTACGAGTCACAATTGTTACAGTTGTTACGACATATGTATTCCCATAGCTTAATTTTACCACACGCAACTAAAAAAAAAACACTATTATTAATGTCATTCTGGAAAAACTGCTGAGCATTTTTTCAAAATATTTTCTTACCTGTGTCGATTTCAGGCGAACTGCCATTAAGAGTGCAATGATATGGTGTAAACTCTGTAGCTGGCGCAAGTGTAGTAGCGTTTGTAGTCGGTGGCAACGTTGAATTCTTATTTATCGGTGCTAAAGATGAAACTGAAGGTAAGTTATCATTTGGTTCATTATAGGCTACAGTGCTACTAAGTGCATCATGCATGCTTGTATTACTACTGGAGCGGTCAAGCGAGGAAGAAACATTTAGGACAGAAGTAGACACAAAAGGAGAGACAGGAGGTGAGTTTGAGTCAGTGGATGAAATGGGGGTGTTATTAGAAGAAATAATAGAAGCGGGGGTGGTGGAAGCAACTGATATATTATCTGTTATAGCTTCAATCTGCTTGCTATTCAAATCAGGCTTGTCAGACGAAGTCACAAATGATGGCTCGGTATTGCGGGGGCTAGCAGCTTCAGTCGAAGATTTGGCGCTCGATGTCGTTACATCTAGTATACTGACGATACTGATAGGTTCTGGCGATGAGTTCGTATATAAACTATACGGTTCGCCGGCAGGGGAAAAAGCTTTACTGGGAAAAGGAGTGGTTGAAGTGGAAGACAGGCTAGGGGTTAACGCATAGGGTGCAGATAAATTATTAGTGCTATTTTCAAAAGCGGGAATAACACCAATAGTCGTCATGCTTTCTATGTTACCGGGTGTTTGCGCAATTTTAGAGGCAGTAGCGGTAGATCCATTGGCTACAGGCACCTTCGTAGTCACTTGAGCCCGAGTAGTTATTGGCTTTAGTGTTGTTGGAGTTTCGAATTTCAAATTCGTAGTGGTCGGCGGAGGCACAGTAGTTTTTGTAGCGGTGATGTTATTCTCTACAGCATTTACAATTGAGCTATCATTCGCAATTGACGACTCGTTCGCTTGCCGCCTGGAACGGCTGCCTTCTGGCTTGAGATCCGTATTTGATTGTTCTGCGTGACATAAACTACTTGATGGTTTGAAGTCCGTAAAAATCACATCATAGTTGGTTCCACGAGAAAAACCTGATAGAAGAAAAATGAATAGTAAACAAAAAATATATTCAAATTACAATGATGCAATGATCGAAAAAACGTACCGATAACCAGGAGAAGGAAAATGCTTGACAGGGCAAGCATTTTTGCTGATACCAATTGTTACATCAAAACATCTGAAAAACAGATAATCGATTATTTTTAATAAAAAATACTTGATTTATTTCTTCATCATTGGTCATTAGTTGAATCCGAATTGCTGACACCTTGAGCAATTGAATTGATCAAAAAAGCTTTTTAGTAACTTTTTAGGTATATTAGATTGAGAGTTTTCGCATGCTGCAATACACTCGTGAACCAAAATGGTCAGAGCACCAATTCGGCATTAACAAAACATGATCTCCGTGCACAATTTCAATTTTATCAGATCAGTGCCATATAACTTGTCTTCTTTTATTTTTCTTTCGCTGGGACCAGAATAAATCAACAGGCAGCTTTTCGAAAAAATAATAATAATTCTATTAATAAAAATCAAGATTTAATATGAAGCGTATATCAATTATAATTTGAAATAAAAAAACACTCAAAAAGATAGTTGAAAATATCTTCAAACGCACAAAAATATATATCATGCTGTTACTTTCCCCTTTTTATTAAATAATAAATAAGTAATAAGAATAATAGAATATGTATCATCGTCATTTCCTTCCATCTTTTCCCAATCTACTGGGTCGGCGAGTCGCGCTTGAACTGCGAGCGCCACGAGACCCATTTGATGGTGCCTTCTTTCCTGAGCCGGCGTGTTTTCATCAAGCTTTCCACTCCGCTTATCTTGGCTTTTCTTTGCGTCTGTTTCCTTCCTTTGTCTGGTCGAAAGCCAGAGGAAAAAGGTCTGCAGTGTCCACACTGAGAACAGGGCAGGGCTATCCAAACGACCAAAAAGTTGCTCGGTTGGTACACGATCCACTAGAGAGACTCCACGCATCATTCGCACTATGCGTCGTTCAGTAGATATGATGTATTGTTTAGCCAAAGCCTTTAGTCCCCAAGCTTCAAGCTTCAAGGGGGTGGGTTTTTGCATAATGAGGAAACAAACATATGAATCAAAGCTGGAATCCTTGTTGCAATCTGCTCAGTTTGTGAAAAAAGATGCAACCACTGATGAGGTGATACTGAAAATTGAGAAAGAACTTAACAAAGAATTACTAGCCATGAACAAAAGAGACGAGATAAGTGATCAGTTATATTCTAAGATGAGATCAACAGGGGGGCAACCCGCCCGTTTGTACGGTTTATGTAACATTCGCCCGGAAGATACATATCGACGGATAACAAAACTAAGTCTTAAGACGACTGGCTAGCGTCTAAACAGAGCTTTGCATGTTTTTCACCGTCTCTACCAAGCCAGTACTTTTCGGTGGTCTTTTCTAACATCGGGTCGACAAAAACGTTACTGTTCTCCAGCTTCAACCAGAACGCTCAAATTAACTGAATTACATGCAAAAATAGTGAGCTCATGGCTGGGTCTCAGTATCCCCAGACCACGAGGTCACTCCTAAAAACAGGGCTACTACTTATTATATTACTATTGTTTTTGTTCAGTAGATAAAAATCATCATCTCCATCGAAGATGGATCAACCCTTTCCCCCCCAACTCTTAGCACCTCATCCTTGTCAAAACTAATCCAAATATCAATTAAATTCAAGTCAGGACATGACAGGATGCTAAAAGTTCATATGAGTCAATAAAAGTTTTCCGTCCCGAGACCCTTCCGGATTCTTGAATCCGGTGAATCAAGCTCCTTAAGTTCGATTTCACGACAACACGGAAGGCTGGTTTCTTACCCTTCACCGTTGTTCGCAACGGCCTTGCAACTATTGTAGCAGCACAATAGTTGCAACTCGGAACGTTCTCTGCAATCTGCTGCTGTTTTTCTTCAATTTCGACTTCTTCAATTTCGATAAAGTTGTTCTCGTCAGCGCAACTAATGTTGTTGTTCTGTTTTTTCACTCGTTTTTGTTAAAAATGGCCGTTTCAGCATTTCTCAGAAATGTGACGTCATCATTCGAATTTTTGAAATTTTAAAATACTAGAATATTCCAGCCTTCACCGTTTGGCTAAACGTTCCAATAACGCCCTTAGTTCATAAAATCCACCAATCCGGAAGGCTTACTGCTAAAATTCCGAATTCTGCAGAGATTGCATTTTTCACATTCTGGTCGAATGTCACATACTCCCCGGACAATCCGGTCAATGTCCTCATTGAATCGCGCAATGTTCTAAATGGTTACAGTGTCATCGAACAGAATTTACAAAATGCACGAAATTACTTTTATCTACGTCACATCGACTCACTGCAGAATATAAATGGCATCATACTACATCACTATAGCCTTCAAATTCTCTCATTAACCTGCACTCTGAGGATATGACTTAAGATAAAACATTTTTCCTGACTTCCAGTGTCAATGTCCCGATTAAAACTTCTTCTCTTATATTTAAAAGGTGTTGGCTTGCAGGACAGTCCTGCCAACCAACAAGCTAAAATTATCCTACTACGCTCCTTCCCTTCGGAAATCTTGCTTGTTTATTGTCCTGAATATTAAAACTAAGAAACTTTGTGGTTAGAAAGAACAATGCAACAACCTCCCTCTTCAGGAGATTACTCAAGCCTTCCACGTCACCACAAAGTGATCAATCTTCCTAAGTGATTAAAAACAATCATGCAGGCTGGAATATTTAAATATACTCTTCCCTCAAGTCTTTCTAAATAAATAATAAGTGAGTGTCTCTAAAGCCACTTCAACTAAAATAAAAATGCAAATTTATAAATGCAACAATTTCAAAACTCAACTAAATGTTTCAGTTTTCAATTACAACTTGGTTGCTTGGTTTCTCACTTGAGTTTTTCACACACATAAAACAATTCTGAGTTTTAACATTTCTTCATCATCCCTTTGTTCTCTTCTTTTTTCGTCGTTTAGAAGTTCTAAAACTTCTAAATTCTTCTAATTTTCTTTCTTGCTGCCTCTTGTTTTCTCGACCATTCGTCAATGCTCCATTTCCTCCTCCTGTGACACTGACTCCGCACTTTCGGTTTCCGTGTCTTGTAGCACGTCATTGACTATCCTGACGCTGTTGGAAGCCGTCCTCCAACACTTCTGCTCTTCCACCCTCTGTTTACAGCAAGGTAGGGGATCCACGTTTGATTCTCTGTTTCTACAGAAGCTGTTGTGGAGACACAACGTCACGTTTCTCTCCAAATCTTCTTTCAGCATCTCTGCCTTCTCATTTCCACTACGCTCGCTCGTCCTGGAAATTCTTTTCACAGCGGTGGTCACTGCATTCCGATGGGTCACGAAAGCTCGCTTGAAAGCTCCTGCCCCAATGTCCAGCTGATATTCACTGTATACTCTGCCATGCTTCGACATATGCTTTTTCGCATACTCGTACAACCATGCAGTCATGTTAGCTCTGAACCATGGCATCAATGGTTTTCTTGCCCATATCTTCTTCACTTCCATCGGAATGTTTAGAACTTTGCACATTGTCTCAAAAAGATCTAAATCTTTTAGACAATCTAATTTCCGTAATTGTTCTCTCGTCGGTGCCTCCTGTCTATTATTTTCTCTCACATGAGCTTCCAGCCATCGTATCGCCATCATAACTCCCACTATCACTATTGTTACGGGCTGTGATGAATCTGGTAAACCCATGGAGAGCAGCTCTCCAGAGTCCCAGATCAACATCAGATTACTACGCTTGGGATACCACCAGGTCTGCAGCAAGCAGTGGCAAGGAAACTCATCATGCGTCAACATGATGCTCCTCCAATTACGTTTTCCCGAAGCTTCCAGCAATGGTTCCACTTCCATCATCACTCGGTGGATTTCATCATTCTCATCTACTGCATTGTAATCTGTGACAGTTGATCCTCCCTGTTTCTGTTTTTCGAAGTCACTGAAGTTCCCGCTCACATATCTCATGAACTTCTTTCCTAGTATTGACTCCAACTCTTCTTTGGTTCTCTCTGGAATTGCTGAGAACATCTTACATAGTAACTCGTAAGACTTTTCAGACATCCTCGCTAATCTCACACACTTCGGCACTGAGAAGGCTTGATCCACAATCGTTCTTGTACTCTTTACGTCCACAGCTACGAAATGTACAGGATATCTGCTCTTGCACATTGGAGCCAACGTTGAGCCCACCAAATATCGTGCTCCTGATGGTCTACAATAAGTTTCGCTGTGTCTGATGTTCATCTCTGTTTCGATTGCTTCCCTCCATTTTCCTATATACTTCTGCTCAGTCTGCAGAACTCCTGGGAATACTTCTACGCTGATGGCTGTGACCATCTCATGTTTCTGTTCTAGATTCAATAGTGACTCTAAAGAACCAAACATGCTGTAGAATCCTAGTGCTGTCACTAGATTCACATCGGTTCCTCCATGGCAATCTGCTATCAGTTCCGTTTCCGTTCTTGCTTTCATCACTACATTTCCAAACAATACTGTCAACTGCTTGTGTTGTTTCTCCAGGGTTTTCACACAGTCTAGACTTCCACAAACGTGACCCTCTAGTCCACAGACTCCCGCCAGACAGCTACCAGGTTTGACCCAGTCTTCTGGTACCCAGCCAGGCAACTCCACTTTATCTTCTCCGTTGCTCTTAGAGGCTGTTATCATCACATTATATATGATGTTGAGGTCACGCAGGTTACAGTCTGCATTTAGTTCCCTCTGTACGTCTTGTGTCGCCCGTAATATTGAGTCAGCGTTGGGACTAGGACACCATGATGGTCTCATCAATTCCCACACTGCCATCAAGCTCGTTCTCAGTAATTCATCTGAGAATCCCAACCCAAACTCCACTCTCTTGTCGGATTTTGGTACTGAAGGTGCAGTCACCTCTTCTTCCAAGACCAGTCCCAATTTGGCCTGTGAATTGTTGACGCTTTTAATCGTTACAATTCTGGACGTCCAGAATCTTAGTAACACCGCCTGCTCATAATCAAAGAAGCAATCATGTATGTCTTCACTCAGGAAAGGATTGTACGCTATCCCTAAGATCCCAGATACATAGCTATATGACTTCTTCTTGATCGGTCCACAGTATTCACTGGACTTCGGCAATGCTCCCATAGATTCTTTAGTGAGTCTCAGCTCCTT